CCTTCCAAATCAACGGGGCCTTGTATCAAGGGCTGACATTGCTTGTGCTGCTTGGCTCACACTCCCGTAAAATTATCACGGCTGTTACCCCTTTTAGACACATACCCAAAGGCTGCTGCTGCAAAGCGTTTACGGGATGGTTTTACTGTGGGATTCCGATCAGGGTTTAGCGGTTCTTGAGAAGGTCTCGACGCAAATAATCCCCGGTCAGTTTAGAAAAATAGGGCAGTGGCACTCAAAAAATTGACAGAGGAGGTAAATTTGGGACGCATGGCAGGACCCTTTCCAAAAAAGCCAATCGAAAACCTTCGGATTTCTCCCATTGGGCTCATTCCAAAAAGCACTCCGCGCAGCTTCAGGCTCATTCATAACTTATCTTAACCAGAGTCTGGTTCCGTAAATGATGGCATTGAAAAACAATTTTGTGCGGTTCAATACACAAACTTCGATGATGCCATCAACTTAATAGTGCAGGCGGGGACAGGCGCATTGTTGGCCAAGGCTGATATTAAATCAGCTTTTCGCCTCCTGCTAATTCATCCTGACAATTTTTGTCTTTTGGGTTTCAATTTGCTTGACATGTACTATGTAGATAAGACACTGCCTATGGAACAGTTTCCACCTTCCTAGAGTGGGTCGTAAAGGTGCAATCGGGGTATGACAGTATCTGCCATTATGCTGATGATTTTCTGTCTGTAGGGGCCACTCCCTCCAAGGAAAAATTGCCTTGTCATGAAATGAACTGCTTCAAAGGGGTTTGCAGGGATCTAGGGGTACCACTGGTAGAGGACAAAACAGTTGAACCGACAACTCAGCTCACATTTTGGGGGTTCGTACTCCCACGAACTCCCTGAAACATTCCTTAGTCAACCTCCTCGCAGAAGTTGTTGGGTCAATGAATGTGACACTTGCAAAGATGGATCAATCTTCAACCGGCTGTTCCCGTCAGAGGAAAGCGTGATGACAACATGGTATGCTCGGAAAAAAGATGAAAGTGGCAAAGTCTGCAAAGTGATGGAAGAAGGAATAACACAAGACCTCCGAGAATACATCCGCTCAATTCTGCCACAATTTCTTGAGCATTGTTACGTCAAAAGGCTGCGACCTATCAGAAGAAAAAAAAAAGCTGCAGAAAGTCACTCAACTAGGGCCCTCTTGCAAGCTGATTTTTCAGAGAATCATACATGCCAACAGCAAGATGAAATCCAAAGTGCCCAATGGCAACAGAGTCAAGTCAGTGTACAGCAGCTGTGTGGTACGATGGTGAGCTACACTCAAAGGTCATCGCATCAGACAACTTGACCCACAGTAAAGACACAATCATTGCACATGTTAATACTTTGTTAGAAGATATCCCTTCGCAGTACAATGAACATCTGGACCGATGGACCGACATCCCAGTTTAAAAAACAGGTACAGTACATTGCAGCCAGTATTCCTATTCTTGAGAAGAAGCATGATATCCCCATACTCTGGCACTACTTTGCAACATCACATGGCAAGGGGCCAGTAGATGGAATTGGTGGGAGTGTCAAAAGACAAGCATGGATGGCAGTGAAAAACAGACATGCTCTGATGACCAATGCAGCCTCCTTCACTGGTGCACTTCAGCTTTCTTCTAATGTTGAAGTCATTGAAGTAACTTCATCAGACACAGACAGAAGAAACAAGTCCCTGAACATCAGTGAGTTATTTGAAAATGCCCCTCCTGTGTGCGGAATTACAAGTTCACATCACCTTGGAGTAATTGATGGCAATGTTCATGATTTCTCCTGACAAAGGATGCTGCCACCCTACACGTACCCTCAGAAAAAGTTGTGGAAGGTGTTAATGAAATTGCAGCCAATGACTGGTGTGTTGTAGATTAAGAGAGTGAGCTCTTCCCTGGGGTAGTCACAGCTGTGTACATGTATGTCCAAATGACAACTTTGAAGTGTCGGTCATGGTGAGAGCTGGTGCATACTAGAAATGGCCAACAAAGAAGGACAAATACACTATACCAAAGACAAAATACTGAGAAAGTTGGAAGCACCACTTCTTGTTAATATGCCCGCGAACATTATACATGTAATGTAAGTTACATGTAACTGACATCTGAGAAGGCAGGCCTATGTACATAAATGTAACCGGTACTGACTGATATGCTGACACAAGTGTACACGTAATCAGGAGCCCTAAGTGCAGTGTCCAATGCTTGCAAATAGATGGTTGGCACACATTAAATGTCTTTTCAGTCAATGGGATAACTACCAAATGCACCCACACATCAGTAGCGTGAGTGTCAGGGCAGGGACATGTACTCCAGCAATGGCATCCGCAGATTGGCCTACATGTATCAGTGTAAATGTAATGAGACGTATAAATACAGTACATGTATAAAAACTGTACTATGAATACATTGTATGTTCCTGTGCAAGTAAATGTCATAAATCAACCTAGAGCTCAATGGGCTAGATGTGCTAGATGAAGTTGGATGTGATGAGCAAGTCATTTGTGAAGAGTTTTTACCGAAATATGGTACAGTGGAACGCCGCTATACCGAACTTTCAGCAGTACTGAACGTTGTCCTTGGCTCCTAATAATTTGTGCAGAGAATCTACCGAACACTATTCAGTTGCCGTTTGTAATTCCCGAACGTCAATATGATAAAACAGTCTGTGTTTTTAGGTAGGAAAGTGACAAGTGGCCATTATTTCCACAAGGATTAGGAGGGAAAGCCACTAGTTGTCAACCGTATTGAATAGACACTGGTTTTGCAACTCCACATGATCGCGTGCGGAAGAAAACCACACGTACGTGCACGGTGGAATTGCTCTAACAATTGTCTAAAGAGGGCGCCGCTGATACACGAACCAACCGAGATTCGCCACAGCATGCATCACAGACTGATCCTGAGTGGTAGTTTCACGACTTTTAGGATGAACTTGATATCAATTTTTTGACTCAAGTTTAAATAAAAAACAAAATTTATTAACAGATACATTTCTAGAAACCTGAATGTGAATGCAACGCAAAACATCACGAAACAGCGAACCAAGGTATCACAAGAGGGTGCGCTTCGGTTAGACAAGAGAGGGCGCTATTCAACATGGCAACGAAATGTTCGGCATTAAATTCTCTATACCGAACGACCGCTGTACTGAATATTTAGCGTGGACCCCATCTTGTTCGTTATAGCGATGTTCCACTATATTTAAATTGTAGATACATGTACTATAAAAAGATGGTACGTAACCATTGCGTAATGTCCGTCACAGTAATGTCAGTCATGCAGGTTAATTTGCATATTTGTTAAAAACTTAAAGTTACATGTAGGTTTTCCAAATTTACTACATGTACACGTGTCAGTTAATCCAAAAGCTGTTAAATAATTGTATGGATTTAGACATTGAGCACTTCAACTTGAAGAGAAATTTTACAAACACATTTGACATGTTTTGGCGGCGTCCCATTTTGTAATGTCAGTCACAGTGGTTAACATCCCCCTTGTTTACAGATAAGCTGAACATGAAATTTTAATGTTTCATTATCTTACTGGGTACTCCCTAATATCCCCCGTGCTGATCATTGTTCAGCAGGCTGCAATTTTAATGATATAAGAGCTGATTTGATATTCACATTTAGTAAAAAATGTAATGTCAGTCACGATGGAATTGCCCTTTATGTTAACTTGTACTGCGCCGTTGATCATTTTTATGGAAACAGCGCATTATAAATTTTCAATTATAATTATTAGCTGCACGTATGGGGAGCACATCAGACCCAACGACTTGAGGGATAAACAATTTGCAAGATGTGTGCAAAATCTTAATGGGCATATAGGCTTAGTAAAGTTACTCATGTCATTTTCACAGAAATTAATGGGCCATGCACATGGACTGTAGCCAGTGAGTGTAGGCATGCCTAGTGTTGATCCTAGTCTGACAGTATACATGTAGGATTAGTCTCAACATGGTCTTTTCCTTTCCCTAGCTTGGTCTCACATCATCATCACACCTCACTTTATTTTCCATGTAATATTAAGAGATCATTACTATAGCCATGGTGCATAGTTAGTTGATGCCTTTTTATAGGTCCATGGTTGATGGATGGAGACCCCCCCAACATGGAGGAAGGACACAAAGCATTGCTTGTCGACACATGGTCGAGCGGAGGATCTATTGGACACTTATGACAACACTACAAGAACTACAAACATTATTATTAGTAATATTACTAGTTAACTTGAAAACATTAAAGTGCACAAATAAATAATATGCAAACAGTTTAACGTAGGCTGTAACCCTGTGCCAGTCTGTGGTATAACTTAAGTTGGTCCCATCACTCTCAACTGAAGAACTAGGCATAGGAATTTTATTCCTGTAAAATGGTGGAATAATAAAGGCAAAATCAACTGTACTTACTCCATCAATGTCATCATGTAAGTGTGCCAGCGATTCCTCAAAGACTTATTTCTTGATGATACGCGAAAACAAACGGATTCAAGCTGGTCGTACGCTCAGTACACACATGTACAATGTACAGTACGTGCACATGTACCCCCTGCACCCACGTGTTGTTTGCAGTGTGTCAGGTCCACAGTCACTCCGCCATAATCCGTGTTCTGTAATGTAAAATGGGTTTTCGATGCAGCGTGAGTTTTGCGTAGTGACGTCATGCACCGAGTGCCTGGCTGGTAGGCCGGCTCACCGGCCGGCCCCGTTCAAATGGCAACAGCAAATGAAGGGCGCCACCACACGTCGCCGTTATAAGAAAGGTGCAGTGAACTGAGTAAAACCGTGTAAAATCAACAAAGTTCAGGGCTCTATAACATGCAAGCCGACATTACTGAAGTTTAAAAACACAAATCAATTTCAGTTCTTTTCCATTTTTTTTTGGTTATCTGAAACGTCTTTTTATTTTCGCAAAACAATCTCCTCCAAGGCTGCTCGCAGCAATTTTTAAATGGCTTCCCTCTACTCCCTTGAGCTCAAAGTCTCATAGTGTATAAATATCTTTTTTATTGATTCAAGAAGAAAATGGGAAGCTGTGGGCGGTGAATTTTAGCTGATTGCTACCCAAATTATTTATGATACAAGTTTCTGTCGGTACATCACTGTGAAGATTGTGGTCACACCTTGTATTGTGAGAATCTCTCCTGAAGTTGTGTGGAGAGGAGAACCGCTTGACTCAGCTTTGCAAAATCAATATATATGCATCACGTTTCCATGCGTGTTGCCGTGAATGTTTGCATTATTTTTACGATGGGTTATGAGCCTCGAGCTGGGCAACGCACGCGTTAAGGTCGCATTGCTTCCAACAAAATGAACACTCCCGACCACCATAGCTCCGGCTTTTCAACCATTGAGGGGGTGCTTCTGCTCAGGGCGGAGAGTCACTGAAGCGATCGTTTCTCAACAGAGAACGTGCCCCCGCGGTTGAAACGAACGTGGGTTTACTTAGCTCTGTCTGAAGCAACTGCATTATTTCAGATATATGTGAACATTTTCACTTAAGACGCGATTATTATATCAGTATTGTCGAAGGTCACTATATCACTGGTACTTGAATAGCCTATTCCATATTGTAATAGCATAATTGTCCGATTTAAATGTATGTAATTCTTGCAAGGTTTTGATGTGAACACAACACATGCAATGCATTAGTTCGCTTAAATGTTACCTTTCACTTTTAGATTATTTTGGGTACCAACAAGAAATCATGTGTCAGTGGAAGTTACAAATTGCGTGCAAAACAAAAGAGGGCGCCGCATTGTTTCATAAGGGCTCTCAGCAGGTGGCTACACGTGTGACATATGCGTGAGTGACCGTCGCGTGTACGTGCATCATGGGATCGGACGACAGCTGGTTGAGCATTTTATGCTTAAACCTACGGACCTTTATCATGATCCTGCTGTGTTTGTCTTGTTCCCTGTAGACCCATCGGCAATGGTAATGCAAGTGCACATATTGATAAAAGGGAATGACAATTTTTCCTTCCAGCCACTGGCCTCAGTTTGGTTAAATTGCTTTAAATGGTAGAAAAGCAAGATATGGATGTCCAATAAAAGAGATTTATTGGAAGTAAACAAGTCAAGCATAAATAAAAAATAACTTTCTTTAGTATAGTACCTGCTTATCAAGTCAAAGATGAAAGATGGATTCATAGGGGTATAGAAGAAATGTTTTCAAAATAAAAAATAACTTTTCAAAGGTTTACGAAAAATGGCCTTCAAAACAAGAGGGCTGCCTAGTCGCTGTAGGCTTATAAATGAACATGGTTGGTCAGTACAGTACAGGTGAACGAACTTTAAATCCCGAGTCCGATTGGCAGAAAGAAGCCACTGACATTCACGGTTTTAACAGTTTAAGACACTGGTGTTCGTGGAAGGGACAAGGAACTCCGTACAGTTTCTTTTTTCTGACAGTAGTGCTTTCACTGTAGGGAATGCTGATGTCCGAAACCAGTTCAAGCATTCCCAGACTGCATTGGGTGGCGGAAAATGCACTACATGTAATCAAATACACCCCTAGTCCAGGCTTAATTCCTTCATCCTCCATCCCTGTGCGTCGTGCTAGACACTGCCAATGTCAGTCTCCCCGTTGCCTTCTGATTCCAGTATCTGAATGCTATAAGTCACTGTCTTCGCAGTTGTCCAGCTGAAACTGTTGTCAAAAGTAACAACATCTGGAAAAAAGGGAAACGAAATCAACTCGGTCTGAAAGTACTTTTAGGAGAGCCTACATTTTGCGAACAATCATACCTCAATAAGTTGCCAATTTAACCGGACTGTACGTAATAATATTGTAATAATATAGTATAGCTCATTTTGGTCCGTGCTGTGAAAGCTGCGTATAATACTCTGGAATCTTCAGGGTAAAAGTTATCAAGACTTGCACGGCCTCGAGGTTGATGCCGGCTCACATGTTCCGGGCCGCTCCAACTCGAGTTCCCCGCTCTCAGGCACCATGTGACTGTTGCATCGATGAACAGGGAGCACGACAGCAACGTCATCTCTGCTGGCGCCCTCACGGAAGCTGACCCATGTAACCTCAAAGTCAATGTTGTTCTTTTTTGTCATGAATTCATATCTAACAGTTGAGAAAAAACAGCAGTGTACGAAGGCCCAGTGCATGTAGTGCCAGGAAGTAAACATTTGGAACAGTGCAGTATATCTTCTCAATGTCGTTTTTATGAAGTGAGTTTTTCAACCGTTATCGAGCACTGTTTTCGCGTATATGTTTTATGAGATCTGTTTTTGCAAAGTTTGGTTTTCGAGAAATAATGTTAAATTCGTTTTTCTGAGTTCTTTTCTTAAAAAAAATTGTCTGTATTTCTGGGGTAAATCGTTTTTATATGTGTTTTTCAAATAGAAAAAGTATCTGAGATTTGTCTTTTGAAAGAGTGACGTTTACGAGATGTGTTGGAGAAGTTAGGGCAGAAGCTGTGAATGTCAGGCCGGTAGGTTGTTCATACAACGCTTAATGCGCGATATGAAAATATATCTCATGAAAAGGAATTTTTCGAAATATGTATCGTAAAAGGATCTTTTATCTTCGAAACTCTTAACAAATATCTAATAAAACGACCTCGATAAAGAATATATTTCACCTTTTGAACAAGTGTACATCATTGCAGTCGTGGAATTCCGCAGAAGTGAATGAGGGCGTTGCTTTTTCCTTAATCCCGAAATATGCCGTTAATGCATTACATTAAAGATTTTGTACCAACCGGAGGACGCTGTTTGCTTTCTTAGTTGTGAAGTTGAGTTTGCGACACGAGCCGCGACCAACGGTGATCGTCGTGGTGTCATGCATGTCAACGCACATATCCTTCATGTAAAAGCTCTCTGGAACGATACCCGCTAGTTTTACCTTCGAGTGTTTAGAGAGAGAGAAAAAAGAAAACTTTATCTTGGCTCTGAGTACACTCCAACGGCAACTACACTTCGAATGAAGCATACATCTATAAACTTTGTAATGACATTGAGAAATCCCTGAATTCAGAGGAAAGACAAGTGATAAAAATATTATTCTTATTTTTACGGCAGTATGTTTCGGTAGATCTGACTTCAGTGACCTCATCACGGGTCAAGATCTTTTCTTTATGAAGTCTCTGGTTATTCGAACCTCAACAGTGAGTTTCAGATGTATAGTCTTGCTTTATTCTCGGGGCGAAAAACGATCCAACGACGTGCTGCACAGTTCTACTTACGGTATTCTGTTTTTGCGCATTATTTTGGTGGCTTACCTGGCTTGGGCACTTGGGGTTGCCGTCTGGATCGTGGCGAGTCCCGCCCCAAAACTCTGGGAGCTCGTTGGCATCAATGTGCTTCAGTAAAACCTCCCTCCAGTTACGTCAGTGAGAAGAGAGGAATCGCAAACGGCAAGGAATTAAAAAAAAAGATGATTGAAGTGTTTGGCCCAATAACGATCGGTGGCCTGCAGATGGCAACCAGCCTCACTAGTGACAAAATGACAATAACTCAGACAAAACGTGGAAAACAAAACAAGGATACGGGACCGGTATACGGTACAGGTTTTGCGCTGAATAAATTGAGCGACAGAATTTACAGGAGGAAACCTATTACAGCACATTTCGTCAATGTTTTTATGACGTGAACGCTGATGTTTGAATGTCATAAAATCATTCCAGCTACACGTGTACAGCATACGCTGTGTGATTTGGGAAAGATTCCGAAAGTATGGAATATCTCTACCAGGCCGCTGTTTCACAATTTATTGGAAAGATCCGTCCCCCCTTCCATAACCCACATCTTACTTCCTAGTATTTGAATCTTTTGCTTGGTCCTCTCTCGCAGGAACGGTCTAACCAAGGCGAAGATGATCGGGAAGATCTTGGGTGGTTTCAGGACGTAGGTTGTCTTGATGATCTCCGGATAATACTGCTCAAACAGCGTGAGAAACTTCAGCCGAATCACATATAAAACATCATTTGCAAAAACAAGAAAAAAAATATGCATAACGCTAGTCAAGCACGATGAATGATTTGATAAAGGATTCAGTCTTTGATTTTGTAGAACCTGTCAAAAACAATTCAGAATGCACTTGTCTTATACAGGGGTAACCTAACTTCTATCCCTTCACGTCGACGCCTCGCTTGTCTTATCTATCCGTTGTCACGGTCTTGCAGAATATCGTAAATAGTCCGTGATTCATAAGGTACCAATTCCAAACTACATTTCATGCACCTAATGTGGAGATCAGAGGCAAACGTGACATTATCATTCTCCAAATTTCAGTTTCCTTTCCTGCAAGTGAAACCCGGCGGGTCCTTTTGTTGAAGCGGCCATGTAGTAAGACATAGCCCTACGTGTAATGTACACACGTTAACCGGCCGCAGGTGTCCCGACGGCTTCGGTATTCCACAAGTGCACAAACCGTACAATTAACCTACGTATATTTCAAAGTAGTTTATTTATGGTGTACAAATATCTCTATTTCAAATAAAGATATCTCTGTTAAAAATGGAACCGCTTTGAAAACAAAATAGAGATATACCAAAGTCACAGTCAGCAACATTTTGATTTCACGCAACAAAATTAAATACTGTGTCAATAGTGTATGAAAACTGTTACATATTTCTATTCTCAAGTAACATGATGGGAAGTGAACCTAAAACCCAGGTAAAACCTTTCTTTGACTGACAAATATTGACCACCATTTTGTATATGGGACTAAAGCCTGCAGAAAGTTCACCCCTTGAATCGCAACAATTTTCCCCCCAGAAACGCACTATGTTGCTTCTCCGGTGTTAAACTTGGGAGACATTGTCATTCAGTAGCAGTATTGATCATGTTGTGTTTGTATTTGCGAGAAAGATTTTATATAACCCGTTCGAATTATTCTTTCGAGGACGGCTCTAGAGCTACAATTTCAAAGGGTAAAACTTTTGGGGGAGGGGGTAGGGAGCAAAATTTGACTTTTTCTTTCCCCCGCAAATCTTTGGTGACATTTATGAGGGTCGAGGCTACATTTGGGGAAATTTTTACACGCTTAGAGGAGGAAAAGAAATGAAAACGACCCAGAATAATTGGCTACCTCTTATCATCTTTTTAATGGCTCTTTTTAGGGGGCGTGGCCCCCTTGGGACCCCCGCCGGACCCATCCTTGTAGGCCTATTTTTTCGTCTTGTACTCACGCCCGGCTAAAGATTTGCATTGGTTGGCAAAGGAGGGCGTATTCGTCAATTATTATCATAACTGGACTTACCTCATTGAAAAGATCGATCCCTGGTTTCCACAAGTGGTGTGCACCAACACCCTCGAAGTCGAAGAGGAGTATCAATCCCTCGACGTTTCTTCCAAGCTGAAAAGATTAAATTTAGGCTCTGTTAGAATGTTTCCATGACGATGGAGGACACTGCAGTCAGTGTACATGGACAGCCTTTTTCGTGACCGACGACAAGGAGCTTATTACCTGAGCACCGACAGTAACCCTCATGTTAGGCATCGATCCTGAATTTTGGAAAAGCTTCAAACAGTCTGTTTTAAAGCACAAAGAATTTGCCTAAACGAAACAACCCGCTGCCCTGTCTTCTGATGGATGAACTGGTTAACCTTATGCGCACCGTTGCCGCTGAAGGTTAAATAGCTGGCACATGATAATCTGTGCGGCGGTGAAATAATTTTTAGGTTGCATCATTTTTTTTTTCGTTGGCTGCCTTCTTTTATCTCCAAAATATCTACTGATGCATGTCCAGTGATTAGTTTACCATCTTTGACTGTTCCTCCAGGTCTTTGTAGACTTGTTCTAAATAGTAGATGATGATTTTGACCATTTCGCTTGTTCTGCAAGAATGCATCAGACCTGAAAGGGATATTGACTAAAAAATTACTTTAAGGAGGTTAAAACAACGTTCTGAAGGTGTCACTTTTAATTACGAGACTAATATGTGCGCCAAATTGATGCTGCATGGGAGTTATATTTCTAAAAGCTTTGTTATACTTGTGTGTCACTCACAAATGCTTGCGGATAAACTCGTGGTGGATCGTTCGAGTTTGCGCCTGAGGACCATCTACCTTTCATATCGAGGTTGCCCAAGGGTACTATGTAGATCGGACTACCAACTTTGTCGTGACCGACAAGACCGCCGCACCAATACATCTCACAGACCTAATCACATGTAAATACACGGGGAAGGTTTTTTCATTTCTTTGTCACGCTCACCGACTTGGGTGTTCTCAACGATGTATCAATATACAGCGTAATAACAAAAAAATGTTTCTACTGCCCACTGTTATCAAAGCTTCCACAGAACCGATGAACAATATCAACCGAAGAGTCAAATGATTCTATAAAGATTCTACAAGCCTAAACAATCAATCACACGCTAATTAAGTTTCTGTTCCTTGGAAAGGAACGTGAAGACCAACGTGTTGAATGGTAAATTATTTTATTCTTGGACTATAATTGAAAACTCACGCACCCAATCTTACATTTTCTTTTATAGCTTCATTCTGGACTCTTGTGTATTATGACACACACGCACAAACGTGTAATACCTTAGGCATCTCAAAGTTCTTATAAATCGCGTCCACCTTCATCGATTCCCTCCAAGACTTTGCCTGGAAGAAAGTAATTATAAATTGAAATATTTATAGAAATATGCATATATTTCGATACCCCAGTTTCCTTCGTCAGTGGAGAGGTTCAAGTCCCCTTCACGGCCCAAATGAGAAAAATGGACTAACCACTGCTCCGACAAATCTCAAAGGAAGCATCTACGACAGTCACTGTGACAGTTGTGGTCGGCCTACCTTTCTGAACATTGCTTCGCTTTCCTTCAGATCAAATGCCCGTGCTAAAAAGAAAACAAAATACATCGAAATCGAAACAAGGAGACCAAACATTAACACTTGAGCTGTTAATATATCAATTTTCAAATTTTAGATTGATTTATGACACTTTCCTAACGGAGTTTGCTATAATGTGCCACGGCATGTTCGTACCAAGCATGGAGTTGAACTAGCTGGTTCTATAAAGGAAATGTTCTCAGCGATGTTTTAACACTGCACCATGAAGAGACTGAAATCTTACTTACCACGCAGGTACCTTAGTAGGCAGTGATCATCGTGTTCTTCCTTCAAGACATCTTGGAGCCTCCTCCGAAACTAGAATTAAAACACAAGTACAAGTATTGTTAAAAAGGCAGTTACACAGGCTTACTATTATGTTGGGTAATTTGATTATTTCAAACTAATGGCAACTAAGACAAAACTCAAAACGCAAATAAACATGTATACCTGTATAGCATCCAAACACGTTGCATTTCAAGTAAACATTTCCTGAGAAACGCTTCAATGACACAAAGTACTCATGGGAATCGCAGGAGCCCAAGGGTGCGCCCCGCTCAAAAAAAAAAAAAAAGAAAAATGGGGAGAAGGGAAAAAACAAAACAAGTGAAGGGGTCGCCAATTTTCATAAAAAAGGGGAAAAAATCTCAAAATTGAACCCTTTAGCTGTTAATTATCATTTTTAAGCTGAGTGCTTCCCCCTCCTTCGTAACTTCCCTCGGGGAAAAGGGGGTCCCCCTAAAAAGAGAAAAGGAAAAATCTTGGCGAAGCCCATGAAGGTACATAGTGTTCTGAAGTTTACAAAGACTTATGCCCTCGGAACGTGAACTATTTGGAACTGCAAGCGTCCAATCATCACCACCCACGGAAAATTATAATTAATCAGGCCTACAGTCGGTTAAAGTTAGAAAATACACGTTTACACGTGTACAGTGCACGCTCGTCTGAGAAAAGATTCACCAACCACTGAGCAAGGATCCAAGCACCAATCTACTGCAAATTTCTGTGGAATAGGGAAGCGTTGTGAATAAGCACCAAGGTCGGAGGCAGGAAGCTAAGTTCACTCACCTTTTCAAGTTTAGTCGCCTGGTCAGCACTTAAATCGCCCAACCAACCGCTCATTTTGAATACAGCACCAACTAGAAGTTATGCGCTCCACTGGAGACTCAAAACTTTGACCCGAGTGCCAAGGAAGAAGGGAGCGCTTGCTTTTGGGGTAAATATATAACGACGTGATCGTCGATTAAGGTACCCATCTACGTCAAATGTTTGTTCAGATAAAGCTGACAATGATGGAAATCATCCCCACTTAAGGGGGGTTGGTGTCACCAGAAATCTCCCTAGTTTCAAAGTTCACGGCGCGTACCCAATTTCTTTGATGTCTCCGAGTGATAAAGGTATGTGGTAGCCAAAGGTGACAAGCCACTGGGAATTCGCCGATTCAGAAATTACCAGCATCGATCCTAGCTTGGGTGTTAGGAAATTTTGGAGTATGTAGATGTAAACGAACTTTGCCACCTGAGTTTTGCGTACATGGATCACTGTAGAGGTAGACCAAATTTGCATATTTACACGTTTTACATACGAAGTGTGGACATTCCGCTGGTCTCCTGTGGTTAAGTAACTCGGCAAAAATGCTCCTTTTTCTCCCACTAGAATAACTCCTTCGAGCTGGATTTTTCAAGACGATTTCCTGGACTGTTCCCCTTCATTTTGCCACCGATTACCTTGACCCCAAAATGATTCTGAAGCTGTTTTTCAGAGAAGGAAAAACATTGTCCGCACGACGCCATCGTACCCTGCATTATGTGGACTTCTTTTGTACAGAGGTCCACACTATGTATGTCACGCCTGCACAACGAGCACAGTCTAGCGGATATGCACATATAAGTGCTACGTTAGTGGTAAATTGTGAACCTGTCATAAAAGCATAGAGCGTTACATCATTGCTTATGCTCATGAGAAAAAATTTCTTGGATATAGAGCCATCACAAACTCAACTGTTTGGCGCATGGGTAACCACTTCATAAATAGTGCCCTCACTACGCACGCCACCCGTGCCATTAGTGTGACAATTTTTCATCTGACGTATCAAAGTTCTTACCGACCTATCTACAGAGGATTAACAAAAACAAGCGTGACGACATCGCGAGCTCACCCATATAGAGATGTGGCAGCCATTAAAGAAAATGTGCTGACCATTCATCTCATGCAGGATAATTCTTACCATCGTGCATTACCCTGCCTGAGGAAAAAATCGGATGTTGAGGCATTGCAAAACTACTTCCGCTCTTAAGAGGCGTGGCTGCCACTCAAAATGGGAAATGGAACTTGTGCCAAAATATATGCAATTTTTCAAGAATGCACTAAATCTGGCATCGAAGCACGATTATTAGAAACAGTTTTGGTGGTATTCAACGTACGTTACCGTAAATGCATTAACAGGGGTGTAAGAATTCAGCTTAATAGCTGATTTCAGCTTTTTTGCCCCATCTATTATTAGTTTACTCTAAATTCCAGCTTTTTTTGTACACCTTCTCTGTACAAAATTAGGGGATACTATCAAATTTCAACTTTTTGCTACCTGATTTCAGCTTCACTGAATGAGGCCATTAATGCCCCTCACATACCCACATAGGCAATTCCATGCAAAGTAGAGAATTGGAGGGATAATATCCTCAACGCTTGGCCTTTTGCCACTTTAAATTGTAACATTTGTTGCTTCCAAAGAAGCCAGACAGGTGCACAAATGTAATTTTTTAATGATATGTATTTACAACCTTTCGGAAGCTTTTATAAACTGAGGTCTGAAATGCTCATACCAGACAAGCATTATGCTCTATTTTATAGATTTCACATCCGTGTGAAAAATGTCCAGAGAAATTTTCAATGCACACTGCTTTATCTTACACTATCATACATCCACTTGAAGGTCAGTTAGACAGTCAATGGCCTTTTTACAATCTGCTATGAGACGCCTAAATCCATTCTTGAAAATTTTCATAAATTTATAATCTTTAAAAAGAAAATACAACTGTTGTGTCAAGTGAACAGAATGCTTTAAAGTGAATAACAGACCCTTGACGGAAGAAATCCATCAAAGTGAAACCAAACTGAACCCAAATTTAAGAAGAGGCATGACTGGGATGCATGATTCTAAACACCTTATCAGTATGTTAAGCCAATTCATGCATGTCAGTTTGTTTACCAAAACAGGAAGTTTGACATTTGTGGAAAGCTGAACTGAAGAATCACCACGTATCATTAGAAATGATGCATTTAAAATGTTACAAGCGAACGATGAGAAAACTTGCATTGCTTATTGCCAACATATTCAATGTGTCTTTTCATTTCAAAATTTTTGGTAAATATCCAATAGGTTTTGGAAATTATTTAATTTTGCAGTGGCATGGACATCAGCTTTGAGTATGCTCAGAAGTAGCCACTCCCGTACAAACGTTTAAAGGAGATTTCCGAAATAAATGACCCTTATGCTAAGCTCTCTCAGCATGTTCCTTCAGCAGCCGTCCTGCGATGACCAATCGCTGGATCTCACTGGTACCTTCATAGATCTCGGTGATGCGAGCGTCTCGGTAGTGCCTCTCAGCCGGCATGTCCGTCACGTAGCCCATGCCTCCCAAGATCTGGATGGCCTGAAGAGCAGACAAGAATTTGCGAGAGTGGTCGTTAAAGCTTGAGTACACAGTTTACAAATCGATGCAGCTCTGTAAATAATATCTGAAAACTTTTCCTTCCAAGCGGTTTAAACAATTTTTATGTTGGACAGTCAGGTGAACTGAAAGTAGGAACTAAGTCTTAACAGTTTTCAAAGTGGGAAGTCAGGTGAAGTTTGGGAGTCTGTCTTTAAGTTGTTCATCAGGTACATGTATATCTAAAGAAAAGTTCTTTTCAACAGGAAGTGGGACGCCACCATTGCAATTTACGACCTGTGAAATGATATAAAATGTGACGAAGTGGTCCTCTTCCAACACATGCAAAACATTTCACGTTCTAGAAGAAAAGTGACTACAACCTACAGCCATGTTCAACTTCCAGCTTTATAGTTTTGGAGAAACTTTTAACCGTTAAAGTGTTTTTCTCTCCAGGTCACAGAAAATTCCCCTACACAGAATTGTCAGATGAGTGCTGTACCAGTACACTATATGTGATGTTAAATATATCTTGGACACAACGAAGCCTGATGTCTGTGCTATGATAAGTCTACCTGATGAGCTGCAAAGGTTGCTGCCTCTGAGGCTGCCAACTTGGCCATTGCGGCTTCCTGTGAAAGTGGAACGCAAACGTCGGAGATAAATTGGAACTTCGGAAATGAAATTGATAACCATGAATATTCAAATTTGTGCACGGACAGCCAAATTTATTTTTCAGATGATGGTCTAAAACTCTCATGTGAAACAAACCCTTGAATTAGAGATCATTATCCATTTAAATTGTTTTCAGGGGCGATTTTAAGCACTGTGCGCAAAAACTTTTTGCATCAATGAGATGTGTTTTGCGCTGACCATTTGTAAAAAACAAGATTTGGTGACCATTCATGGCTTTTGCTTCCCTAATTATGAACCATGAATAGAGGTAACGTTTCTGAATTCAAACTTGAGTGAGGTCAAAATGGCTTATCAAAAAACAAAAAAGTGAGCTGAACAGTTTAAAAAACCTTTGACATTTGAATAAAAGGTATAAATTTGCTTAGATTTAAATTCTAAACCCCAAGTGATTCTGCCCCAAAATCAAATTCACAACTTCTGCAGATCAGCAGATATGTGCAGCACAGCCAATAAGGTCTTATTTTTGTGTTGGTCCACACTGCTACTGTCTAACATCTTAGCAAGATCGGCAAGCTTTTGAACTCAAGCGCCTCAGGAGTTTCAGGGTCAA